TGCTCAGATGCTCCGCAGGGTTCAGGGCCGCCACTGATCTGTCTGGGTTGGGAGCTCCCCTCCGGGGGTGGGTGACTGTGATTTGGGCAAGGGCCACCTCACAGGTCAGGCCGGCTTCCTTCACTTGTCACAGACGGGGGGTCTCGTGGGCACACTCGTCTGGCATGAATCAGACCAAGGTTTCTCCCGGTGAAAGGTCAATGGAAAATCAGCTTGGCTGGGGTCTCAGAAATTGGGCTGCACCCAAGCATTTCTGGCACATCCAATCAGGTTTACTAAAAGGGCCAAAGCTAACTAATCCTCGAGAGGGTTTTATCTGCATTTGGAGATGTTTAGGCAGATTTACTTTCATTACCTCCCCACCAAGGAGGCTTGAGTCTGGAGACTTTAATTGTCACCATCTTCCTCAGGCATTTTGTGCCGGGAAGGGGGGCAGGGCAGCTGGGGCTGAGACCAGGCAGCACGCTTTCATCCAAGCACTCCGATGAATGCATGAACTTGGGGACAGTGACAGGGTCGCAAAGCGAAGACCTCCACGCCAGCACCGAGCATTCGATCGAGGTAGAGAACCAACTCTTTATGCCACAGTAGCCTAGCACGGAGAAGTGACCCAGATACGAGCCTCTCGGCTACCTCGGGCACCTCTGGGCACACTGGACAGACAGCAGAAGCGTTCAGTGCCCCGGGCATCTCCCTCGGACTCTGAATTATAGAACAGGTGACAGTCTGCTTTGGGAGAGAAAGTTCCTCGCCTACATAAATAACCCACCTCTCATTTTACAAATGGGGAAACTGAGGCCCAGGGGGGTGACTCACCTGGGCAAAAGTCACACAAGTAACACGTTAATAGGAGCATAGCCAGAGCTAAAAGGAACCTCAGCGATTATCTTGTCCAACCTGCTCATTTTACTGCTTTTCGGTGAGGCAACTGGGGTTAGGTGACTTGCCCAGGGTCACACAGCTAATAAGTGTCATTTTAGATGAATACACTGATACACTCACAGACCTAGCTTTTTGCTTTTAAATGGGAAATCAGCAACTATCTTTCCCCAAAAAAAGTGATACATCAAGGGCTCCCTGAGATGAACAATCTTAAGAGCTGAAAGTTATCTCCAACACCATCTAGTCCAAACTGTACCTGACCAAGAAGTCCCTCTAACACATTCCTAGAAAGTGGTCATCCAGCTTGTGAAGGGGAGCTCACTACCTTCCAAAGAAGAGCTCTATCTCCCTTAACATCAACCCTAAATATCCTCCTCTGGCAAAAGTCCACCACTGGCTCCTCATTTTACCCTCCAGGGCCAGGCAGAAGGAGCCGTGCTCCTCTCTTGACACGACTCAAGGCCCCCGACCATCACACTGGAGCTGCTTCGGGATGAGCTGACCAATGTCTTTACTAAACCGGGCACGGTTGGCCCAGGGCACAGTTCAAGGGGGATGATCACCTCACTAGCACCGGAAGTCATCCATCTAAGGTCACAGTCCTCACTGTGCAGAATGCAGTCTACCACTCTCCTCTCCACCCCGCACATTCCTTTTCCACGGCCCAGGATCACGGGCCCAGAGGTCATGAGGACAGCTCTCCCAAGGCTTCTCCCTACTTTCAGATAACACACATCAAATCTGCAGCTGTACATTAATCCCAACAAAAGAACCTCCTACTTGTTGTTTTCAATTGGGGGGAAAATAACAACCCAAAGAATAACAAATTCCTATCTGAGCTGAGGGGTTTTGAGACGATAAAAGCATCTGCCAGAGACGCTTAAGCGTGGACTTTGTGGAGAAGACAATGGGTTATGGGTTTGCCCACAACCATAAAGCAGGATCATACACAAAACAAGAGAGGGGGAGTCAGGGGAGGGGGGCTCTCCTTCATGTCCGTGCTACTATTTTATAATAACCAATTACAAGTCTGCTAAAAGTCACCTGGTCAGTAAGCCCCACTCTGGCGCCTCCACGGTGGCCTGATCTACCTCTTTAGGTAAAAGGGCTCTGTCCCAGGTAAACTACTTGGCTGTGGGTTTCCAGGCGTTTCCTGGCCTGTACTTAGACCAGACGAACCAGACCAAAGGGGCCCATTCAACACAGATACACAAAGGTTCCTCAGCTCCTGATTCCCTGCCAGGCACTGCCCTCTCTGCTCAATCTCCTCACCCCATCTGGGTGCTCCAAGTTGTTTCAGGGCTAACATGTGGACCCAGCACTAAAATGCTTGTATTTGGGGGTCAGCTAAGATAGAACTGTACCAGCCCTGGAGTCAGGAGGACCTGAGTTCAAATCCAACCTCAGCCACTTGCTATTGTGGTAGACAGTAGTAAGTGAGGCAGGTTCTCCACTAGCACCGTGGGACAGTGTCACTTAGACAAGTCACTTAACCCCAAATGTCCCCCATCCCCCCAAAAAAGAAAAAGAAAATGACCGCATTTTGTACGTTTTCTCCAAAGGCTGTGAGAACAAAAGCCCTAGATGAGAAGGCACAAGACTCGAGTTCAAATGCTGACTCTACCAGGGTGGAGGGGGAAACAGTACTGATTTGGAGTCAGGGGACCTGGGCTCATACCCAACTCTCCTACTTGCTAAGAAGCTGTATGACTTTGGGGAAAGTCTCTTACCTTCCTTGAGCTTCCTCATATATAAAATCAGAGATTTTGACCCAAGATGAACTCTAAGGTCCTTTCCAGCTCTAAATCTATAAACCAGAACGTCAGCAAAAAAAAAAAAGGAAAAAACAAACAAACAAACAACAAAAACTACTGGCTGAGTGACACTGAATAACTTACTTCATCTCCAGACCTCAGTTTCCCTTCTCTATAAATGTTGGATTTCCTCTCAGGTCTATTCCAGTTCTAAACCTGCAAATCAGGAATAGCTCCTCCCCCCAAAAAATAAAATAAAAACTTACTAGTTGGGTGACCTTGGGGCTTGAGTCCCCTGAGTGACCTCGCATCACTTAATTTCTCTGGGCTGGGCTTTCTATTTCTATAAAATGAGAGAGTCAGATTAGATCACTGCTGTTAACCTCAAGTAGAAATGTGGCTACTAAACCATATGTAGAAAAGCACTTATTAACATTATCTAAATTCTATTGTATTTTTACTTAATAAACATTGAGTGGCTACTATGAGCTCAGTCACAGTGCAAAGCACTGGGGATACAAAAAGAGGCAAAAGGTGATCCCTGTCCTCAAGAAGCTTAGGATCTATGGATTTTTATGTATTTTCTTAAATATTCTCAATGACATTTTAATCTGGTTTAGGCCACGTGAGACTGTTAAGGGAATCATGCCTGGCACCTATGGACTAGAATCGGGAGGGGGGGAACCTTCGACCTTGAGGCCACATGTGGACCTATAGGTCCTTGGGGGTGACCTTTTGACTGAACCCAACGTTTACAGAACAAACCCTTTTATTAAGATTTGTTCCGGGCAGCTAAGTGGCACAGTGGATAGAGCACCGGCCCTAAAGTCAAGAGGACCTGAGTTCAAATCCAGCCTCAGACCAAACACTTGGCACTTACTAGCTGTGTGAACCTGGGCAAATCACTTAACCCCAACTGCCTTTAAAAAAAAGAAAAGAAGTTATGTGAAGTTTGGATTCAGTCAAAGGGCCACACTTGAGGACCTAGAGGGTCACATGTGGCCTCAAGGCTGCAGGTTCCCCAGCCCTGGACTAGATGAAACCAGCCCTATCTTAAAAAAAAGAAAGAAAGAAAGAAAATAAAAGTTATGTGACCTTGAGCATGTCACTTGTCCAGCTTGTGCCTCAGTTTCCACATCTGTAAAATTCAGGAGAGCGGCAGAAGCAAAATGGAAACCCGACTCCCAAATCCAGCAAGCTTTACTCAAAGGGAAGGATTGTGTGGGCTGGATTTTTTTTTTTCCTTTACTGAAGGAGCATGAGGAAAAACACGTGCGTACAATCCATCCTACCATTTCAGTTTACTTAAGAAGGATTCTCATTGGCAGCGTCACACACGTTTGCCAGCTCACTGCGCTCTGAAATTCCAAAAGAGCGTGGAGTGCTTTCTCGGTGACCTGGGCTCTCAAAAACACAAGTGCGGCAGAAGTAGAGACTCCGCGCACTTGACTCTGGATAGCTGGAGAGGCAGAGGAAAGCCATCGACCACATCAATTACACTCAGCTTAATGGTTCTGATTTGCCTTTAAGAAGAAACACGAACAGTCCTTCTGAAGGCTCCCAGACTACATCTCTCTGTTCATCTGGGAGACGGAGAAAGACAAGGGATACACAGCCTTTTTCCCCAATATATTTTTATTTATTTCTTTCAATATTTTCCCATTACACATAAAAAAATTGACATTCGTGCTTTTAAATTTTGCCTTGACCCTACCACCTTTGAAGGTGACGCTGACACAAAGTTACCTAAGTCACTTCTGGGCCTAGTTTATTAAGATCAGGAGATGAGACCTAGGCAGGGAATAAGTTCCCATTAGGTACAGGCTCCTATCCTGAAAATGCTCCCTGAGCGGCCACAGGACAGCAGCAAACAATTCTCAGAAAGATCCATTGCAAGCTATTAACCACAGGGAAAATGCTCCAAATCACCGCTATTAAGAGAAAGTGCAAATCAAAACAACCTGGAGATTTTACCTGACACCCAGAAAATCGTCCAAGATGGCAAAGGAGGAGACGAGTAGATGCTGGAGGGGCTGGGGAACAGCAGGCACAGAGAATGAAACGATGCCTACTTTCAGGGAGCTTCTATTCCAAATAAGTTGGTATTACTCTAATAAGAGCGAAGGCTCCCTCTGTACCCTCTGACCCAGAGAGCTCACCTCCAGGAGGTGTGTGAGGGAAGGAAGAGGCCCACACACACCACAGCACCCTCCCGGCAGCAGTCTGGGTGGAACAAAGAACCAGATGCCCATCCGCTGGAGAATGGCTAAGCAAACCATGGTCCGTGAATGGGGTATTATTGAGTCATTAGAAACAATGACAAAGAGGCACACAGAGAAGCCTGGGCAGACTCACACGGACTGATGCAGAAGAAAGCAAGCAGAACCAAAGACGTAAGACGCACAAGTATGCACAACGGAATCCAGGTCAAAACTAGGGTTAGAGTCAGAGGAGGAATCCCCGTACCTCTCTGGGCCTCAGTTTCCCCATCTGTAGAAGAAAGGGGTAGGACTGGGATCCTAAGTTGCAAAGAGGCAAAAGCAGGCTAACAACAGCTACCACCAAAATGGAATGGGGTGCGGGGGGGGTGGACGGAGAGGCAGGGAGGTGGTGGGCTACCCTGAGCAGAGGCCGGACAGGCTTATTCGGGTACGCGCTGGATGAGAGGTCTCTTCCAGCTTAGCGAGGGACCAGGATTCTACACCCACACACCTCACCACTCTGGACAGAAACCCTTCTACCCTCGAGCTATCTACCATCCCAAGCCCCATCCCCATTTTTCAGATTAGGAAATTCTGACAAGAGAATAAAGTGGTTTGTCTAGTCAGACAACTGACTAAAAAAAACTGAAAAAGAAAATATAAGCCCCACACGTAACCAGTACGTTTAGAGTGGCCTGGACCGCTTTCAGGGTAGATTTGTAAACAATAATGATACTCAGTAGGTAGGACTTAAATCTTTTGGTACCACAGCAGGGAGCAGCCGCTGCCTCAGCCAGGAAATGGGCTCCCGGGAAGCAAGCCTTTCCTACCGGAAGTCGAGGGTGGTACAGGGAAGATAACAGAACAGAGGGACGGACGCGTAAGCAGGGGGCCCACCCGGCTCTCTCCAACCTTCTTGGAACCGAGAAGTGTCAGTCACAGGGCCCAAAGCTTTAAGGTAACGCGAAACCCGCTATCGCAAACAGAACTAGCTCTCGCTGACGCTTCTCCATCCCTGACCACCTGGACGGTAGGCTTAAATGCTTTTCAAAGCGTCCTCTCCAGTTCACTTGAGACTGTCCAGGATGCCCAGTGCACTCAGCAGCGCCCCAGACATTTAGACGGTGCTTGTAGAACCCGCCACTGAAGGGGTTTATAATCTCCACTTTGCAAATTTCCCACCCCGTGACTTAGGGCTGTCTCCCCACGCTGGGGTCCTGCCCTCTGTACAATTGGGAGGATGACTAGCGTGGCTTCCAGCTCTAAACCTACAGGTCTACTACTGGAGCTCATGTATCTCATGTGCCCCCTATAATCGATGTGACTCTGGGAAAGTCACTTCTCTGAATGAGAGGCTTGGCCTCCCCGGCCTCTAAGGTCCCCTCCAGCCAGCTCCTACTAGTAGATCTCTGCATCGACCCCAAACATCATGTTACTCTACAGCATTATCTTAATCAAGTCCAAGGGGTTAATTCCCCCAATTCATTTCTCTAAACAGGGGTGGGTTTTTAATTAACAAACAAAAAATGATGAACAACCAAATTCAGAGCTGCATAACTTATTTGCATTTATAACACACCTTTCCCAGAGAAACTCCAATCACATTGCAGACTTTAAATTACCCAGTGTATACTAATCTTCACAAACTCCTCAAAAGAAAGTAAAAGCAATATAAACTATGTGATCTAAAAATCGCTTAAATCCCCCCCACACACACACTTTGCCAGAAACATCCACCATTAGAGAGTCATTCTTTTGGCTCACAAGCATCCCACTGTTTCCACAGTCATCCACTCTTCTATTTCTCTTCCAATCTGACTTTCTGTATCTTTCAGGAGTTCTTCTTGGCCCCCAGAGGTAAGCCCTCCCCAGGATTCCTACACTCTTCCTTCTATCATGGGCCAGTACAAGAACTCTGCTTGGTGACTCAGAGGAGTGGGAGGGACCTGGGTTCCAATCCAACTTCTGCTATTTACTACACGTGTGACCTTAGGCAAGTCACTTACCCTCTCTAGGTCTGTTTCCTCATCTGCAAAATGAGGGCACTGGATTCACCGATTGATGAGGTCCCATTTGGCTCTAAATCTCTGATCTCTGCTCTATTCTCCAATGAGCTCGATCCCCCAAAGCTTTTGCCATTGCTTCAACATGTATCATCCCTACATCTACGGCATAAAAAAGATTTCTTGGAAAAAAAGATCTGGATTCAAGTCCTGCCTATGTGACCCTGGGCAAGACCTCTCTTGGCCTCAGTTTCTCTTCTGTATAATGAGGTTAGACTAGACGTCCTCTAAAGCCCCTTCCAGCTCTAAATCTATGATCCTACAATATTATGACTTCCCTGGTTTCCCCCCTCTGCTAAATGAAGAGTTTGAATGAGCTCTCAAACTGTATTTCTATAGTCCTACGAAGCAGACACAGTTAGTCTGAGGGAATGACAAGGGGAGGGGGGGAAAAGACCCATGAGGACTGGCTTTCAGTATTAAAAGGATGCCCCTGGGAAGAGAGATTAGACTCTTCTGCTTGGCCCCAAGAGCTGAACTTAACAAGGGGTGTGCATTTTCAACAGTGAAAGTTGGGTGTGAAGTCAAGAAAAGATGCCTAAAAGGGCCTTCCAGGAGTGGTGTGGGCCCCACTACCACCTAGAAGGGTAGAAGCAAGTCTTCTCTGTAAGCCCCAACAGCAGAGGGGTTGTCATGGCGACTTACTGCTCAGGTAGCGGCTGGACCCTTCTGGCTCACCTGAGTCAGCCTCTTCTATTCCTCCTATCTTACTATTTATTTTCAACATTTGGGTCTGAGACAGACAGAAACAGAGAAAGAGACAGAGACACAGGGACAGACAGAAAGACAGAGAGAGATGGAGGCAGAGAAAGGAAAAAACCTCTCCGATCTCATCACCCATCCTTCCTTCCTCCCTTTAAGCGTTCGCCTACAATCCACAGTAGACATACTTAGCAAACTCTTAAATGCAGCCTCTCAACATCGTTACAATTAAGTCACTCTGAAATGTCATGAAAAGGCAATCTAGTCCCATTAAAATCTTCACACTCTCATTAAAAAAGCACTTACAGACTCGAAAATGTTCCTAATACATTATTTAAAGACACAAGATGTACAGTGACTAAAATCCGTGTACAGGGAGGGCTAGCAGCAGCCTACTTTGGAAAAAAAAAAACGTGCAAATGTGTGTTATAATTGGGTAATTGGCAAACTACAGGTAGCAGTCACGTTATAATATACTGGTTAAAAATGAAAGGCTTCTCTGTGTCTGTGAATTTTTTTTTATGGTGCTCCAGACCACACAAGGACCATCTACATCAAATGTTGGGTGCTCAAGACATAACTTCATTGAGTTTCTATCCCACCCCCTTCCCACACTGCTAAGGCTGGAGAAGAAAAAACAGTTGGGAGGGGGTAAAAGAAAGCCAGTCCCCCAGGTCTACCAGGGAAGAGGTCAGCTGATTCATGTGGTTCTCCCTGCCCCAGCCCCACCCCCCCTTCATTAATATTCATTTTGGATATGAGCTCAAATCCAGAAAGTCTAATGTGCTTTTATAAGCAGTAACTCTAGAATCTTTAAAGAAATGGGAGGGGAGGGCACCAGGCTGCCCGTTAGCTGGGGATCTTACCCACGGTCCCATCTATTCATCGGCCATAACCTCACTTTCAAGGGAAAGAAATGGAGGCCAAGAGAATCCTTGAACTCCAAACCAAAACCCTGGCCCATGCCTTAGCCCACTGTCCAAACACCTATCCTCAAAAGGACATTTGCCCCCCAACCATACTCTTATTGGGCCAGGCTGACCCAGTCCTGGGGTTTTACAGGAAGTCTGGCGAAGGTATCTGTTAGAGAGAATTTGGCTTGAGGCATCTCTGCAAAATGCCTGGATTTTTTCCTGCTTCCAGGCACTTAGTCAACAAGCGTTAATTAATGTGCTTGAAGTACTTCTGTGCCAGGGACTCCAGGTGAGGTAGCTCCCTCCACCAATGAGCTGAATCTGTTCCACAACTCTCCATGGCCCCATTTGGGGTTTTCTTGGCAAAGATACTGGAGCGGTTTGCATCTCCTTCTCCAGCTTGTTTTACAGATGAGGAAACTGAGGCTAACAGGGTGAACTGACTCGTCCAGAGTTGCACAGCTAATTAATGTCTGAGGCTGGATTTGAATTCAGGAATATGAGTCTTCCTGAATCCAGGCCTGGCCCTCTATCCAGTGAGAGGCAGCTTGGCATAACAGTTACGGCTCCAGAGTTAGTTAAGGCTTTGGAGTCAAGAAAACGCAGGTTCAAATGACACCTCAGATCCTTAGGTGTGAGAACAAATCACTCCGGGCCTCAGTTTCCTTGTATATCAAATACTAGAGTTGGACTCAAGGCCTTCAAAAGTTCCCTCCAGCTTTACTACGATCTGTAAAATCTGAGAATAAGATTTGCACAGGTCGCCTACTGTAAGCACCAAACGAAACAATGAATGCAAAGTACTTGGTAAACCACGAATCACTCTGATATAACTACATGGCATTACTATCATCATCACCATTATTATTATTGTTGCTTCGCTGTCATTGAAGCCACAGAATCAAAGGAACTCATTCAGTATAGGGAGAAAAGCAGCCTTGGGGAAAATTCTAGAGAGATCCCTGCACTAAGGGTCAAGGTCTAGAGGACCTCCCTCCCCTTTCTCTCTGTCTCCATCTGTCTTTGTCTCTCTTCTTCTCCTCTTCTCTCTCTCTCTCTCTCTCTCTCTCTCTCTCTCTCTCTCTCTCTCTCTCTCTCTCTCTCTCTCTCTCCCCCTCCCTTTCTCTGTCTTTGTCTTGTCATCTCTGTCTCTGTCCTTCTCCATCTGCCCTTCTCTCTCTTCTCTCCATATCTCTCTCCATCCCTCTCTCCCCTTCCTTCTCTCCTCTCTCCCTATCCCTCTCTCCTCAGTGGACTTCACAGAGACTTCACCAAGAATAAAGAACCTTCCCACTGCCCTGAAGGAAAAGCCCAAGGAGGAGTCTGGAATAGGCCACACACAGACAGGACAGAAAGTCAGAGGGTACCACAGAGGTCCTCATTCAACCTCATCCTTTTACATTTAAGGAAACCAAGGCCTGAGAAACTTAAAAGTTCTCATCCAAGCTCTCACTGGAAATGAAATCAGTGGAAATACAGGATGTGGCTGCCCCTGGGAAGGAACACCTCTCACAGATCTGCAGAGGTAGACCTACCGGGGACCTCTGAGATCACCCAATCCATCAACTCCATTTTATAGGAGGAAGCCAAAGCCCAATGCACTTCAGTGCCTACCCAAGGTCACACAATAGAACCAAAATCAGAATCCAGGTCTTCAGACTCAAAATCAAGTGTTCTTTCCAGAGAGGTTGGCATAGACAAATAATAAATTGCAACAAAACCTCATCTATCCAGAATGCCAGGGGACTGGCAAGATGGCTCATTTAATGTTCAGGTTAACTGAATATTAAACCAGAAACTACTTTTTTCTTTCAATTCTTGCTGTTGAAAAATCTTATCTCTTAGTCCTCCTTTCCTGCCTAAAAGTACAGCACAATGAACATAAGAGACTATTTCTCGCTGCCTCAGGCCATCATTCCACTATGCTTTTTCACCGTACATGACTATGGATATGAAAGATGAGACTAAATTTCTGCTGACCTGGAGACATAACCCTGGGAGGGGCACTTGTCTCTTCCTCTTCTGTTTTAATTTACAAATAACTCTCTGGCTTGGCCATCATCCATCCCTCTCCTCCCTTGGAACAATGAGAGAGCACCTTCTACAGCAGCAAAAACTAGAAACTAAGGAGATTCCCACTCCCCAGGGACAGGCAGAATCACTCGCTGTACATGAATGTCATTAAATGTCACAGTGCCTTAAGAAAGGATGGCTACAAAGAACTGCAAAAAGCATGAGAGGACTTCCACTAACTGATGCAGAGTAAAGTAAGCCGAACCAGGAAAATGATATCTACAATGACCATAATCATGTAAAGGGGGGAAACCCACAAAACTAAACATTATGTAATTCTAATGACCAAACTTTCCCACTTAAAAAAAAAAAGATGAGAAAATGCAATTCCTCCTCCCTCCCCCCCCCACACACACACTTCTGAAAAGGTGGGGGATTAGGGCCACGATACACTGCATACACCATCAAACCTGGCTGATATATCAGTCCATTTTGCTGAGCCGCTTTTCCCTCCTTCTTTTTTTCATTCTTTGTTATAAAAGATGGCTATCTAGAGAGAGTAGGCATGTATTTGGAAAGGAAGGTAATGTAAAAATATAACAGATCAATACTTTTTTAAAAAAGAAGCAAGCAAGTAATTTAAGGGGGGAAACCCAAGTGAATCAAAGTGTTGTTATGCTCAGCAAACTACCTTTATCACCCAACAAACTGACAACAATCTGTAGATGCAGAAAAGTCCCTACCACATCATCATTAAAGCACGGTTGGGGGAGGGGGGCGGTATCAGATTCAAGAATGTTGGAATTGTAAGGTACCTGGGAGATCATCTGATCCAATCCCTTCTACTTAACAGACAAAGAAACTGACAACCAGGAAGAACTATTCATGAATAGCCCAAGGTCACACAGGTGCAATTAACAGAGCAAATTTTTCAAACTCAGGTCCTCTGACTCTAAATGCATGGTTCTCTCCACTGTACACCTGCACGCACATGCATGTGTGTCTGTCTGTCTGTCTGTCTGTCTCTCTCTCTCTCTCTCTCTCTCTCTCTCTTCTCTCTGTCTTTTAAGTAAGGATTCTAGAAGACTCGTACTGACCTAAACCTGCAAATGGATTCATGATATATATTTTTTTTAACCACTGCCCTTAACCTACGCCTTAAAACAACCTCAGACAAGAAAGGTTTGGTCACTGTCAATCAATCAACAGACACTTATTAAGCTCCTACTATGTGCCTGGCACTGGGGATACAAAAACAAAAGAACGAAACAATCTATTCTCTCGAGGAGACTTCACGCTTAGTACATACACTGCTATGGATTTCCAGCTTCAATGCATGTGGATGAGTCTTACGAGGACACTGCCATCCTCTCAGTTCCCCAGGCTTACAACCTTGATTATCCTCAACTCCGCACTCTTACTCCACACATCCGCTCCCAGTCACGCTGTTTCTACCTTCACAACATCTCATCCCCGTGAGCCTTTGCCCTCCCTCATGCAGCCACCGCCACAGTCTGAAAGCTCATCTTCTCTCCCCTGGACTATTCCAATAGCCTTCTGTTTCACATCCTTGTTTAAATTCTCTCCCTACTCCAACCTATCCTCTATTCAGCTACCAAAGGGATTTCCCTGAAGGGTAGGTCTGGTCATACCATGGCCTTCCCCTCTCCATACTCAATAAATTCCAGTGGCTCCAGGATCCACTATGAACTGCTCTGCTCTATCTGGCATTCAATGCTCTTCACAACCTGGCTGCTGCCATTCTCTCGGGGCTTCTCACGCTCCCGACTACACTCTACTAGACTGCTTAACGTTTCTCACATTAGACGCCACCTCTCACTTCCATGCCTTTGCACCGGCTGTGCCCTCATGCCCTGTCACCACTCCCACCCTTAGCTTCTCTGGCCTCCCTGAAGATTCATCTCCAATCCCACCTTCTCCAGGTGGTGTTTCCTGCTCCCCATCACAGTGCCTTCCCCTTGGGCATCACTTTCCACAGACTTTCCATATATCTTGTATGCGGCTTTTTATTTATAGGCTTCATTCCCCATTAGAATGTGAGCTCCTTGAGGGCAGGGGCCATGTCTGCCTTCTCAGTAACCTCAGTGGTTAGCAGAGTGCTTGGCACACAGTGGATGTTTGTGGAAAGTAAAGCAAACAATTCAGCCAAAATCAGTATGAGAGTGGTCAGACTTTGCTTAATGGAACGGATGTCTTCCTGAAGACCCATGAATCAAATCAAATTTTAAATCTGCTGAGGTCAGTGGAGACATTATTAAAGGAGCCCCACTGTGAATGATTTCCTCACGTCAATAACATCTCACCTTCCCTAATTCATCTTTTATGGGAATCCAGATTTTCATTGATTGAATTTACTTAAAGTGAGGAACTTCACAGAGATTAACATGACCATGGAGCTCAGGAAGGATGCCCGAGGACCAGACCATCTAAGTTACTGGTACTCCAATGGATCTGGGATCTCATGGGTGTGGACAACCCATTCCAGTCTGCCCCAAGATCATACAATTAAAGGATCCTAGCTCTCTGGCTAGAAGGTCCCTTGGAAACCATCCAGTCCACCCCTATTATTACAGCTGAGGAAACAGAGGCCCTTGCCCAAGATCATACATGGCCTAGTGTCAGAATCAGAATTTGAACCCAGGTCTTCTGACCTGAGAGCCAAGGCTATTTCCACTATTCCATACTATCTCCTAATCTTTAAATCTACCAAAGTTTCCACCCACCTATCATATGTGAAATGCTCCTGCTTCTTCAGCAAAGGCCCCAATGTCTAGCCATTTTCCCTTTACTACTTTCAATATCTTGAAGTAAGAGGAGGAGACAGAAAGAGAAATGATGTGATCTGAGAGGGACATCATTCATCAGGCTTGGTGAACTTAATGGTGATTTCAATCTCTCTCCTTTCTCTTCCCCCTTTATCTCTCTCCCCTCTTCTCTCCCTCCCTTCCTCTCCTCCCTTCCCCCTCTTCCTGCAGTCACAAATGTTAGAGGCAAGATTTGAACTCGGGTCTTCCCAACTCCAAATCAGACTCTCTTCCTATCACACCTCCAATGCTCATTGTAAGGGAATAAGCATATCCAGTGGCAGGTCTAACACAAAAGAGCCATGAGGACCTTATTAGCAAGTTACCTGATAGCGCTAGGCCTCAGTTTCCTTCATTGTTAGTGGAGGTGCTGGGCTCAATGGTCTCCAAGGTCCCATGGTTCCCCAGTGTTTCTGTGCTCTGCACACCAGGGTAGGCTGCTGGGCTCCCTCGAGAAGCCAACCTGAGCTCCCCTCTCTCAGGTCATCACCAGCCCTGCTCACTTCGGAGTCAAGATTTGCTATGTCTGCACCAAGTACTCGGTGTTACAGGACATAAAACAGGTAAGTACTCTCTGGGTACACTTTATTCTACTTCCCTATCATTTAACATACAATAAAGAGAGGCATTATGAAATATTATGGAACCTAAGAGTCCAGTATCCCACGCTGGTCTCAGTTCCACAGCTTACCATTTTAATCAAAACTCGGGGATGATTTGCTGAGAGGGAGAAAGTCCAAAGTCACAGAGGGAGGCGCAACCTGGACATTCTCCAACCTGTCTCTAACTCCAGCCCCAAATGTGGCCTCACGTGGACATCCTGGGCTCGCCATTCCCATGACAAAACCCTTCCTGTTCAGGTCAGAGAGGGTTTGACTTCTCCACAAAACTCTGCTCATGGAGACAGGCCTGAAATTCAATTCTATAACTCTATTTCAGCAGCCTTCACTTCCCTGACAATCCCGTGTATTTGATTTTGGGCACTGAAAAATGTTCTGAGAATTGTCCATAGATTTACCCACCACAATGCGTGCGCACACACACGCACACGCACACACACCCTCTACCATGCCAATGCAATGGAAATAGCGCTAGATTTGTGTCAAATCACTGAACCTCTCTGGGCCTCAGTTTCCTCATCTGAAAAATAAAAAGACTGAAGTCAATTGCCTCTAAGGTTGAACTGGGGTCCACTGATTTCAAATCTAGAACTATTTCCACCGTATCGGGATGGAAAAGGGTGTGTGTGTGTGTGTGTGTGTGTGTGAGAGATATCTAAGCATAAGCTGGGCATGCGTGCTAAGGCACAGCAATGCCAGGACCCAACCTAGATCTCAGTCAGTCATCAAACATTTTGATTAAGCCCTACCTATGAGCTAAGGGTTGGGGAATACAAAGGAAGGCCCCAACGGGGCTCTCTGCACCATGCTTCCTATTATATGAAGAGCTGAAGACACACAGACTTGGGTCTCTGAGTGCCAAGACTTAGAAGAAAAAGGAGGAGGAGGAAAAAAAGCCACCGGCTGTCCATACCAAGAGACAGCCCTTGTGTTCTGCCAACGACAAACGTAAATTGTTTGGCTGTCTCGGCCACGACCAGTTCAATTACAGTCAAAACAAAAGCTCTTTCTTAAAAGGCCACTCACACACTCCATGGGCTGGAGTCTAATTGAGCCAGGTTGTAAATTAATCACCGAACGGGGTGACGTCAAAATAGGACAAGGAAAAGCATTCCGGGTGACTTGAGGCCGTCCCTCAAAGCGAGGAACTGGGCCGGGGCTTTAGCAGGAAACGCTCCCATGTCAAAACAGGACCACTGGGGTGCCTCTTGGAGATTCATGACAGATTGGCTCTCCTCCTGCCTAGGCCGTTAATGTCCCTCCTCTTTTCAGCATAAGAGCCTTCTCTGGCAGAGAAAAGGATTAATTCCCACTCTCCCTCTCTCTCTTCTCCATCCTACAGCCCCAGACAGGACAGGGGGTGAATCGGTGCCTGAGGACCATAGAGAGAAGACACTGAATTAGGGCCCTGAACATTCATCTATAGGGCCACCTGGTCCTACCAGACATCAGCATTGGCTGGTGCTTTTCCAGTTTCTACGGGTGGTCCTCATTATCCCCTACCCCCTCCACAATAGAGTCCTCCCATACAAAATGTCAACTTGCTACGACATTGCCTTCTGGCTCTGGGTCCGTCCTTGTGCAACCAGAGACCGTATGATGTAACTCTTGGCAGAATTTGTGGCCCACGTCCTATCAAAAGTGGCAGGTTTTTTTTTTTCTCAGGGATAGAAGGCCAATGCCAAGAGAAGCAAGGACACTGCCCTAAACAACATTTCAGAACAGGGTCAGGAGGATGAACTTAAATCCTGAAAGAAAAAAAAAAAACAACTCCTTGACCAATATTTTGGATTTGGAAACCAGACCAGGGTGGTGGCAAAACCCAGGAAGATAATCTCAAAAAAGATGGAGGTGAAAATAGAAGGGACCTTCAGGGGCATGACTCCTCTTCCCAAGTCATCTTAACCTTAAGAACTTCTCAGACTCAAGAAAAAGAACAAGGCCCCAGGTATTCCCCTGCACAGGATCAATGGTAGAAATGTTACCCAAGGAAGGAGCCAAATGGACCCTCCAAAGTTCTACACTTCCGTCCACGGGTTTGCAAAAACCAGAATCACAGGGTTACACATGCAAGAGACAAATCAGGGCTAAGAATGAGAATGAGAAAAAAAATCAAGTCAACAAACTTTTAAGCACCAGAAATACAAATAAAAGCAAAACCATTATTCCTGCTTTCTGGGAACTCACAATCTAATGAGGCAATACAATGTGCAAATAACTATGTTTTATTTATACATAAAACATACGTATATATATATATATATGTAACATACCTACTATACATCTTATATAACAGATATTATATGTTATATGTACATATAACATAATATATAAGATACATAGTAGGTAAATTAATAATAAGAGTGTTGATTATTATCATTATTTTTTATTCTAGACCTATCATTTCATTGATGTCAGACTTAAGCCTCAATTCATGGCCACCCTCCCTTTGGTAACTTCTAAGATGAGGAAGACAACTCAAAGAGAGAGTCAGACGGAGTCAAGAGTCAGAGAGAGAGAGAGAGAGAGAGAGAGAGAGAGTTCCCTAAGATGCAAATTAGGGATCAAAGTCAAACACTAGCAATCTCCTCTGGTTACTAAAACCACAGAGGAATCTTGCATATCATATTTTATTTCCGAAACCATTGGGGACGGGTTGCGGCACCCTCCCCTTCTACCACTGGCTAACCTCAGTCCTTGAGTTTTTAAATGGCCTACAATCTGTGCTGCTGTGGTTATCTTTTCATGTCACTCACGACACATAAATGCATTTACATTATGCAAGTATGGTGGAGATGGGGCAGGAAAAGGGGCAGGGTCACAAAGGGGAATGAAATCTGGGAAAAATAACCCTGGAGAGACTTTGAAAGGTTGGGTTTTTTTCTTTTTTGGCTTCTTCATTGAAAACACTAGAGTCATCTGACAGCTGAAACCCCTTAAACGCCATGCTGTCACCTCTAGAAATGTTTGATAGACCCAGAAACTGAATTTGATGAGGAGGTGGAAGAGATGACATAATTGACTGGCGGTCCTCTTTGGGGAGGCCGGGCCTGCAGAGAAAGCCGATGCCTTTACAAAAACAATGGTTAATTTAAAAACAAAACAAAAAAGACCCACTTAGGCTGTTTTCCCAGTGGAAAAGAAGGGCTGAAAGAAATAGGGGGCATCAAATGATCTTTATAATTATGGGACTCTTGGCTTTTCCTTCTCTACTGGCCACCCCCTCCCCCAACCCCCAAACCTCCAAGGATCACAGATTAAGATCCAGAGACTATCAACTCCCATTCCCTCATCTGATAAAGAAATGAAGGCCAAACAGAATTAAAATTTGACCCTAGAGTTAATAAGTTTGTTGAGATTGGGGGGATGGGGTGCAAGGCGGAGGAAGAGTTGGGTTTTCTGGAGAACCCCAGAGACTTTGGCACATGGAGAATTCTGTCAATAGCCTATGTCCATCAGGCCCACAGGTCCCCAGTGAGCAAGGAAGGGTCAGCGCTTCGTGAGATTCCCAGGGCCTGTATTACACACAAATTATGCGCTACCCCAAGGCAGACAAAATGGGGAACTGAGGAGAAGCAGCCTATAAGGAGTCACAAGGTTACAGGTCTAGACTGGAAAGAGACCTCAGAGGTCACAGCTAGCCCAACTCTTTTTTGACAGATGGGGAAACTGAGGCCCAGAAACTGCATATGCAAGGAGTACATACGGCAGGGCCAGGATTCAAACCCAGGTCCCCTGACTCCAAAACCTACACTCTTTCCACAAGAATGTAACAAGGAAAGGGTTTTATGGAGGCACTTATTTTAAATATCAGAACATTCTGTTCTCTGGGGCATGTGGGTTATTTATTTTGTGCTGGGTCAAGCTGTCTGTATTGCAGAGATGCCTCAAGGCCTCCCAGTGGAGAGCCACACACAGGGTAAGGGGGAAGAGGATGTTCAAACCTTGCCTGAGGCCAACAGATGCTCTGAAGACACAATCCCCCGCCCAACAGGAGTTTACAATCTCCTGGTGGATATAAGACAAGAACTACCACGGATGGCTGCGTAAATGCCAGAGAAATGATATGCTCTTTCCCACGGATGCAGCAATGCACTGTACTTCAGAGGAATTTGGTGTCCTTTAGCATTTACTGGCTGCACAGCCTCGGGCAAATAAATCACTTGCCTCAGTCTCTTCACCTGTAAAATGGGCCTGACTGACTTCACTGGATAGTTGTAAAAAAAAAAGTGCTTTGTTCCTCCACAGAGGTGGGAGGGTCACAAGCGAGAGAAATGATTATTAATAGCTAATGATTTGGGGAGATTCACATTTCAAGTACAGAGCACAGCCTCTATTTTCAGATGTTTTCAATGTATTCATTAAGTTCTACTGATTTTTTTTTCTTCTTCCTCTTTTTCATTAAAAAACTATTATTTGAGATGTCTCTCTGGGAGGGGGAAGAAGAAGGAAACGGGAAGAAATTTAGTCAATGTAAAATCAAAATATATCGATTTCCTTTTTTGTGTAAAATAAAATGTTTTATGAGGAACTCATGAGAGCTTTCATTATTGTGTGCCTATCAGAACAAAAAAGAAACTTGTGGGGAAAACCACAGCCCCCAACACCCACATATACAACCCTAAATCACTGGATCATGGATTGTGAGTGGAAAGGACCAACACCCCCTTTTACAGAGAAAGAAACATGCTCAGATCCCTCAGTGAATGCTTGAGGCAGAACTTGAACCCGGGTCCTACCGGGAACCCAACTCATGGCTGAGGCTCCACTCTCTAGGGGTCTGTGGCCAGGACAAAGCACGCCCCAGCGACCTGGGGTCCTATTATCTCAGAAGCAGAAGTCTTCTCAAAAGAAGCTGACCAGGAACTTTCCAGGTATCTCTCTCACCTGAACATAACACTAAGTAGGGGTAGAAAAGAAGAGGGGGAGAGGGAGAGAAACAGGCCAACCTGAGCTTGGCGGTTATAAAGTTCCCTTCTGGGCAAGGCTCACTTCTAATTAATTGGGAGCTGGGGGGACCTCGGTGATGGCAGCAGGAAAAACCAGGACAAGAAGAATAACAGGCCGCTACGCCTAACAGAATCACGTGAATCACGTGGGGCCAGCACGAGGTCTATCGGTAATTCTCGCCACTGACCCTCTGCCTACTGAAGCTGCAGTTCTACAGAGAACGAGACCGCTGCTGAATTACTTTTATTCAACTATAAAAAGCTGTTATTTCATCTCCCTGCGCCATAACCCAGAGAACATTAAATATGAAAGGATAAAGGCAGGGTGAGAAACTTGTCCCGGGACCGTTTCTATACGAACCTCATCAAAAAAGATCAAAAGGATCAGAGGAACATAAGCATAGTGTTAATCATCATTATTACACTGGATAATATTAATTATTCTTACTATAGTGTTAATGGTCATTAATATTTCACAATATTGGTTATTACAACTATGATGCTGATGATTATTAATAAAATAAATTAACGTAGCAAATATAAAATTAGTAATAATTAATAAGATTTATATTACGCTTTTAGGCTTGCACAGTAAGAGAGAGCATGGCAGGGTAGGGAAATATCTGTCCTCAGAGTCCGGAAGACATGGGTTCAAATCCGGCCTCAGACACCTCTTGGCTGTGTAACACTAAGTCACCAACCCTCACACTGCACTGTCCACCAGGGGCCGTTCTGCCTTGACAGAGGGGGTTTTCCCCATTGGGACCTCCCTCTACCAACTCTATTATAGATCAGGACTGAAAGAAAAGTCAAGTTTCAAAGTACCGTCATGTACATCACTGCCTCCAATTCCCACAGCAAGCCTGAGGGTTCAACAGACACAGATATTATCATCCCCATTTTACAGATGAGGAAACTGAGGCCCAGGGAGATAAAGCCAACTGGACCATAAATCTAGTACAGTCAGAGTCAGAGGAGACATTTGAACCCAGGTCCTTCCTGGTCCAGCACATCTCTTCACTCGGCCCCTTGCCCAAAATTCCTGGGAAGGGTATAAGATGAGGCTGCCCCAGCACTGACCCCACCACTGGGCACAAGGTTCACCAAAATGGAAAACGAGCCTGCACTTGTACAAGCATGCGGCACAAACCGCCAACGAATAGCTGGCTCATTACGTACCTCATGCAGTAGGAGCAAAGCCTCCTCATCCTCCCCTGGTCCAGAACCTGCTGGGTCAGCAAGCTGACCACCAGGATTTTAATCTTTCTGTTTGCTTCCCCAGGAGCGTTGACCTGGAATCCCAGGGGGTCATCCTACACAGGACAGATGCAATTCTCCTACTTCTTAAAGTCTCTCGAAAAGCCTAGAAATACCCCCAAGATATTTTGAGCTACAAAGGTCATTACAAGATCACCAAGGTCCAATCTTATCTTTTTCACAAATGAGGAAAATGAAAGCCAAAGAAATTAAATGGCTTACCCAAAGTCACTGAAGCAGTGGGATCACAGGAAGACATGCGCAATAATACATTGTTGGTGGAACTGAGACTTGATTCAACTATTTTGAAAAACCATTTACAATTACGCGAGCAAAGTCATTCCTCGACACATACAGGGTGTCCCA